GATTGATTCTACGTAGCATAAACATAAACTCGTTGCAGTATTTTAGTTGCGACTGTTTAAAATATTGGAAAACAATAAGAGAATTTCGCAAGACCACCAAAGGTTATACCGCCTAAGACTTACCCTCAACGGCTACAATTTTCCCACCGTGTGCTGTGGTTAACTGCTTCGCGGTGCCTGCTATAGTATCATACCGAAACAACGAAAACTCCGTGGTCCACGCCCGCTGACCAATGAAGTAAATGGTACTGAATGGTCTTCTGCGTTCCGCATTAAATGGACATTTGATATCTTCTCTCGAGGATGAACTCTCGATCCATCCGGCTATATGATCTAGCAGTTGTCTTAAAAATTACAAGAGGTTAAGGGTGGTTTTGCAGCTTACAGGCACTCCAGACTTTTATTCCAAAAGCCTTCATCAATAAATAGTCTGCATCTGAAGTCAGAGTCCACTTGGTCCCATCGCACTTCTCTCATCATTGCCTCCGCATGTACCAGCCGCGTTTCGTCAACTTCGCCGAGCGGACTGACCCAACGCTTAATTGCTTCGAAAACGCTTTCTTCATTGTGCACTAGAAGATCATCTGCCTGCAATAGGGATAGAGCAGCGTCCGATGGCAGATTGACGAAGAAATCCGTTGCGACGGTGGCTTCAAAGGTCCTCTTGATGTGTTGTAGGCAGGTGTCCTTTAACTGGTTGTTATTCCGTAATTGTGCAAGGTCCCAGCAAGTTGCTATATTTTCCGGGTTAAGTCTGGAAAGGTGTGAGAACGTGACCCAGTTACCTGGCGGCCATAAAACTCACTAACCAGTCTTCCAAATGAGGCAGTAATAGTTGTTGCGACAACACCATCAGACCAACCACATTTGTTTCACGGACTTCCAGTTGGCCCGTATAAATATAGTCTAGTAGGGATCCAGCGACTCTAGATGGTAGTTGTAATATAACATGATCAAGTACTCAGACGAAACTAGTGGCCACTGGAGGACAGCCTGGTCGTCCTTAAGCGTTCCACACACAGAGTCATGCAGCGCGGGTACTCTGGAGACCAAAACCACCCGGTGTACACTTATTCTGACGCCGTGTTGTAGCTTGAAATGGGATGATGATTATAAAGGAGCCATTCTATACGCTTACCTGTATAGTTAGGTCAGATAGTTCGCCTGTCCGACGAAGTTTTTTCAGCTGAGGAACGCATCGTATAAGCGCGAGTTTGTCTTCAAACAACTGAGTGTCTTCAGAGGCCATCAACAGCGCAAGGAAGATATCTAGCATAAAGGTTAGATGTACTCAATGTTGATAGGATAAATTACAAATAATAAGAATCACACAACCAATATTCAGCTGCATATGGACGGCTTTAGGTAAACGTCCGCACTTGTTATTAATTTCGGTAGTTGACGGCTTAAAAATTACTCGCAAAAAGACCTAACTGTGAATTAAGTTTTGCGAGGGCATGTGGATTCTTGAAGGAGATTTGAAAATCACACTAAACATTTTCCGAAAAGGCGAAGTTCGCAGTGTGTGTGTTTGTGTGCCGTAGCCCATTGTTGGATTAGGAGTCCCCGCCGGAATCCAAACTGGTAGTAGTTGGAAGACGGAGAAAAGC